ATGTTTCAAACGAAATGGCATTCACAATGAACAGCGAAACGAGGCCCAACGTTTAAAACGAACGTGTAAAACGAAGCGGGTGTCAAACGAAAAAGAACGACGAAACGGGGCGTCTGAAGCAACAACGAAAAATGAAACGAAACAACAACGAACAACGAAATGAAAAATAAAACAAGGGCCCAAAAAAAGCTAAACGGCGTTGTGGTCGGTCCTTGCAGAACGCCCTGTAGCAAAACATGGTTTAGTGAAAACGACCTCGGGCCCAAACCTGGCGGACGCAAGCCTGGAAAATGGAGGCCGCGGGGCCCTCTCGAGAACCGAGCACGGACAGTTCACGAATCGACGCGTCAGGGTGGGGGTTCTGTCCACCCCCGATTTCCCGTGATGTTGATGCTCATGAAGTACGTGTCCGCGCAGGCGCCCCCCACCCGCTGGGCGTCCGCGTCCACGTGGAGGAGCACCTTGGATCGGGATGCCTGGGCGGGACAGAAAGCTACGTCAGCGTATCAAACTCGGACGTCAGCGAAGGCTGGACCTCCTCCGCTCCCCGCCGCGCGAAGTGCGCCAGGTGCGCCGCCGAAGGCGCCCCGCACAGGGGTGCGGGGAGAGGGGCCGAAGGCCAGCACAAAGCTGCCGTCAGGGGGCGTCCGAAGTTCGCAGCGTATGCCCGTGCCGCTCTCTTGCCCCCTTGCGTGTTCGACCATGGACCCCTTGTTTTACAGTGGAGGCCAGTCCACCAGAAACCTCCCACGAGAAACCCCACCCTGAGACCCCAGGACGTCCATTGATTTTTTGGTGTGGGAACGCCACGCCTTCCACAGCAACAAGAAACCCAGGGCACCCTGGAGGCAAGCACCTTACGTGTTCGACCGTGGACCCCTAGTTACCAATCGCTCCTGGGCCGTCTTCGGCGGTCTTCGGCGATCTTCCGGCGGTTTTCGAAGCTATTCGGTGGTCTTCGGCGGTTGCTGGCAGTCGTTGGCGGCTTCAAGCTGTCTTCGGCACGCGAAAACTGAATGGTTGCGTTCAACAACGGGTTCATGATCGAACACCGAAGCCCCCGACTGCCATGAGAGGCACGTGAAGAAGCGCGTGTACGCCTTGCTTCATCAGGTCGAAGTGCTGCCCGTGCACATTGACCAAATGCGGGTCGCCAACCGCGTGTGGGTTGACCACACCCCCTATGCCACCGACCGGCGGGAATGTCGGCGCAGCTGTCGGGGCGGGCGTCGGCGCAGATGTCGGCGCGGGCGTCGGAAACAGGGTTGGAGTTGGTGTCGGTGCAGCCGTCGGGGCAGGCGTCGGCATGGCTGTCGGTGCGGCCGTCGGAGAGGAGGTCGGAGACGGTGTCGGCGCACCCGTTGGTGCAGCTGTGGGCTCGCTGGTGGGCGAAGCGGTGGGTGCCTTGACGGCGCCTCCTCCTCCTCCTCCTCCTCCTCATCAACATCATCATCATCTTCCTCCCCCGCCTCCTCCTCTTCCTCCTCCTCCTCCTCCTCCTCCTCCTCCTCCTCCTCCTCCTCCTCTTCCTCCTCCTCCTCCTGGTTCGCTGCTGCTGTGGAAGAGGACGGAAGAAGGGGAATGAGGGAGAAGGGATTCAAGGAAGGGAGAATGACGAGGACGGAAGATGAGGGGGAGGAGCTTGTCGGAGGCAGGGAGAGGAAGGACAGGGAAGAAAGAAGAGAGAAGCGAGGAGAGGGAGTGGGGATAGAGAAATCAGGGTGAAGAAGAAGGAAGTAGAAGGAGAAAAACATATCAGCATGCAATTCGAGATTGGAACGATCCGTGGGTCGATGCGTTCCTGGTCAAAGCCCGTGCTGTCCTGCGCATACCTCACGTTTGCTGGACCCTATACAGGACCCTAAAGTAGGGGGGGCGGGGCAGGAGAAAGAGGATGAGGAGGGAGGAGGGAAGAGGGAGGAGGGAGAAGGGAGCGGGAGGAAAAGGGGGGAGAAATCAAATTAGCCAGCTCGACCGCACGAGCACACCATAACCATCCCCACCCGCATTCCCGCATCATAGGAAGCACAATCGGCGCTGCTGAAGGTGCGTACGGCGCCCAGACCAGCACAAACACGAACGGTCCCGCGCGGGCCCGCGCCCGACGAGATGGCAAGCGAAAAATACGCGCCGCGCCCGCACGGGACCAAGACTCTCGGGAAGAATGCGCGCGGCGCCAGAACCAGAGCGACATTCCAGGTGGCCTTTTTCGCATGGGGTGTGCGCCACGCCCCGGTCCTGCGCGGCCACGCTTGCACCGACAAGGCGAATGAAAAATATCCGCCGCGCCCGAGCGGGAAAGCCCCGCACCCGACAGGGAACTAAACTTTCCAGCTATCGAACGGAGACGTTCGCACGCGGGAGCGCGGCCCGGCATCCGACAGCGCGGCAAAGGGAAACTCCCGCGTGAAGGGAAACCCCCCCGCTCGCCGCTTTGATATGTTCGACCGTGGCCTCTGTCCTAAACTTCGGCATCCAAAGGACTGGCTTCGGGACCTGGATGCGAGGAGGAGGAGGACGACGACGACCAAAGGGATATCTTTTCATCCCAGTTCCAAACTTGACGGCCCTGGGGCCCGCAAGCGGCCCCCAGCACACGAAGCTGAGCAGAACGTTGCAAGACCCCCCGACGAAAAATGAACCGAAAATCAGGGAGGACGCGGCAACATGCGCGGACCGCCGAACGGCGGCCTGCTGGAAGCCGCCGCCGGCCTGCAGAACGGAGCAAAAGTGTGACACGGTTGAGACAAAATACGTTGAGCCGCCTTGGAGGCCATTGGAGCATCGGAGGCCCTCGTGGAGCCACCTTGGACAACCTTGGACGCCCTGGCCGATCGCAGCCCGCCCCAGAAGACCTCCAGGGGGGGATGGGGAGGGTACCCCATCCCCGAAGGGAAGAGGGTTTTTGGAAGGAGGGAAGAAAGAACCCGTTTGACCAACTCAGCCCCAAGGGTTGGTGGGATGGTTGAGGGAAAAAACAAGCAACACTTCCCCCTCCCCCCGCAATTCAAAGTTGGCACGTATACGCATCGCTGGTCGGACACTCGAACTCAGGAGATCCGAGCCCAACATTGCATTCGGGGGAGGGGGGACGAGTTCACACCATGTGTTACGCGTGAATGTTGCTGAATTGTTTCCGACACCTGCAGTTCGACCTCTCATGGATTCATGCCCTCGAGCGCCACATCCTCATCTGACAAGTGCGGGTCCCACAGCATGTGCTTCATGGCCAAGATTGCGAAGTCCATGAAGCAAGCATGGAGGCACCGATCGGGAGGGAACAAAGGTGGGGTTGGGGCCAAGGTAGGGTTGGAACGAAAATCGCTCCGAACGGCCCCTGGAAGAAGGAAACGCGCCAAACAGGAGCATCCAGCTGGGCCCGCTCCCCAGCCCCACCTTGAGATGACCCTCCCTCCACGGGGCCCCTCACTCTGCGAACCCCCTCCCTCCACGAATCCCCCGGAGATCGACGAAGCGAGGCGCTTCCCGAAGAAGCACGGACGGTCTCTCAAGCGATGACGGCCCGAGCTCGGCCGCCGGACTGGCCCGTGCGGGGCTCAAGAAAAAGCTGAAGCTGCCCAGAGCTAAGGGCGCCAACACCGAGAAGCACATGGTCTACCATTGGCGGCAAACAAGGGGGGGGAAGTGAAATGGAGAAGGTATTCTCAGAAGGCGGCGGGGTTTCTCAGAACCCCTTGCGCCTTCGGAGAGGTTTCTTTTGTCTTCGGGAAAGGCTCAGAAAACTTCTGAGCCTTCTGAGAAGACCTTCTCCTTCTCACTTCCCCAACTCGCTCGCCACCGACACCAGGAAGCGCTCGATGCCCTGAGCCCGAAATCGGACATGACCGAGTGGCCGAAGACGGACCCAGAATGCGCAGCATCTCTGGCGGGTGAGCCCGGAGTGACATGACAGGCCCAGAGGTCCAGGCCATCCTGAAGGCAAACGGTCTGAGCACGAGCGCCACAACCGAGAAGCAGGACAGTATCTGCCTGATCTTAGAGTACATGCGATCATAGAAAGTTATGGTGGACCTTACAAGTGATACGGAATATTTGCGTAGCAGTGTGGATACCGTTTGCTGTGCTCACAGACATGTGTAGAATGATCATAGAACCTTGCACCGCTGCTCGAGGATGGCTAAATGTCTGCATTGCGCTAGCTGTGAGACATACCACAAAAGCAGCCTTAGCCATCAGAATCGTTTCCGGGGAGGAAGTTTATCTACCACCAGTGGCAGCCACCCATCTCTTGCACACCGTCGCTGAACTCGACACACCAGTCGTCATGTTTTCCTGTTCTCTCCACTTCAGTCTGCCCAGCGCCTGCCGCTGCTTCATCACAGATACAGCCACTATTGTCATGAGCTACTGCGTGTGCTGCGGCAAAGTCTCTATATGCATAGTCGCTGTAGCTGCCATCATTGTGGCTGTCTGTCACATAGCCATTGATAGGGAAGATGCTTAGTGAGATCGAAAACTGAAGAAGGTACAACCCCTTCTGCACCTGCCCACTTAATGAATGCAGTGTTCAATCATGCCCCTCGGCATGTAAAAGAACATGCGTCTCAGAGCATCTTGCGAACGTCCTCCTCCACCTCCTTTCCTCCTCCTTTCCTTCCCCCTCCTCCTCCTCATCCTCCTCTTCCTCATCATCCTCCTTCTCACCCATAAAAAACCCCTCCTCCACCTAATCCTACTTCACCTCATCCTTTCCCTCCTCATTCTCGTCGCATCTTCTCCTCCTATCCTCCTCTTCCTCCTCCTCTTCCTCGTCCTCCTCCTCCTCCTGTCTCTTCTCCACATCTTCATGCTTCTATTCACCACCCATAAACAGACATCACCCGTCCCACAATATCAGACTCGACATTGCACTGGCGAGAGGGGCGGAAGACTGCTCTGAATGCGGAGTCTGCTCCGATCCGCCTCCTCTCCCACCCTCCTGTGTCGGGTTGGGCGTCGGCGCAGGCGTCGGTGCAGGCGTCGGTGCAGGCGTCGGAGCAGGCGTCGGTGACGGAGTGGGAGATGAAGTCGGTGCAGGCGTCGGTGCGGGCGTCGGTGACGGAGTCGGAGATGATGTTGGCGAAGGCGTTGGTGCAGGGGTGACCAGACTCTCCAGATACTCTTTAGCCGTGGGCAGACAAGTCGCGGCGTTCTCTTGAACGAAGTAGCTGGACGTCCCAGAAAAGAGGAAGTTGCGGCCCAAAATCTGAACCTGATCTTCGGGATGGACGGTAATTACCTGGAAACCGATTTCGAACTCGCTCGTGTTGTTGAACTCGACCATGAAACACCGCTTCGCTTGGTCCACTGTATGGTTGGCAGCGAAACAAGTGATGTTGGTCAACGAATTGGGATCAGTCGGGTTGTCGCAACCGTGGCCGAACATCTGAGAGGTTGCCTTGATCCCAAATTTGCCACCACCGCTAGCAGTATACTTTCGGGACGTCCTGCCCGGAATCGCTGTTTGGATCGACTCTGTGTTGTACGACGACAACAGAACTGGACTCTCAGATGTCGCAGTTCCAAACTCGTACAATTTCAAGTCATAATCGATGTCGTCGTCAACCGTGTAGATAGCGGAGACGCCGTCAAGAAAGTAGACTTCGTTCTCCCCAGGTAGGTAGCGATCGATGTCGCAGATCGTGATCTTGGGCACCAAGGGGACTTCAGGACAGAAGGTGTGGTATCTCACGAACTCTGCCTTGAGGGTTGTCCTCTCCCCAACAAGAAGATTCACCACCGCCCAACCTCCACTCTGAACCTGGTTCCAAGTGGTGTTCGCGGGAACGTAAGCGCTTGTATTGACCATTACTAAATCGTACAGGACCCCATTAGGAAGAAGCCCGACTGAATACCATCTTAGCTCCTTGGGTTTATCCGCATGCGGACCCAGGCCACCAAGATTTGAATGAGACGCCCTAACGGGCTTAGTGATGCCAGAAGCGTGAACATTCAGAAATTCAAGCCAATCCTCACAGTCCACGGTGCGGTTCAATGGCTCTGGCGGCGGACACACTTGAGGACACACGCAACACGAGGTTGCAGAGGTGAAGTCATCATCGTCATAATAAGGGTCGAAACAAATACCATCCCATGGGTTTGAGTTGCTGTACGCATAAACCTCACACCCATTGCCCATACCGTTCGTAGCCTCAGTATCCACGCATCCTGTTGGCGACGGCGTTGGTGCAGGGGTGACCAGACTTTCGAAATACTCTCTAGCCGTGGGCAGACAAGTCGCGGCGTCATCTTCCACGAAATAATCGGACGTCCCAGAAAAGAGGAAGTTGCGGCCCCAAATATGAACGTGATCTTCGGGATGGAAAGTGAGAATCTGGAAACCGATTTCGAACTCGCTCGTGTTGTTGAACTCGACCATGAAACACCGCTTCGCTTGGTCCACGGTGTGATCGTAACAAGTAACGTTGGTCAACGTGGGACCAGTCGGCATGTGGCAACCAGCGCCGTACATCTGAGAAGTTACTTTGATCCCAAATTTGCCACCAGCGCTAGAAGTATACTTTCGGGACGTCCTGCCCGGAATCTTCGTTTGAACCGATTCTGTGTTGTACGCTGACAGTAGAACTGGGTTCTCAGATGTCGTAGTCCCAAAATCGTACAATTCCAAATCATACTCGAGGTCGTCGTCAACCGTGTAGATAGCGGTGATGCCGTCGAGAAAGTAGACCTCGTTCTCCCCATCGTGCGCGTGGTCAATGCCGCAGACCGTGATCTTAGGCGACAATGGGACTTCAGGACAGAAGGTGTGGTATCTCACGAACTCTGCCTTAAGGGTTGTCCTCTCCCCAACAAGAAGATTCACCACCGCCCATCCTCCACTGTTAACCTGGTTCCAGTTGGTATTCCTGGGGACATAAGCGCTTGTATTGACCAGCACTAAGTCGTACAGCACCCCGTTCGGAAGAAGCCCGACTCCATAGTATCTAAGCTCCCTGGGGTTAGCCGAATCTGGACCCATGCCACCAAGATTCGAATGAGACGCCCTAGCGGGTGCATTGATGCCAGCAGCGTGAACCTTAACAAGTTCAAGCCAATCCTCACAGACCACAGGGCGGATCATTGGCTCTGGCGGCGGACACGCTTCAGGACACACGCAACACGAGGTTGCAGAGGTGAAGTCATCATCGTCATCCGCCACCATGCCGCTCGGCACGGATTGGGCGTGTTCTCAGGTATTTTGCTTAATCCCTCAAGCACCCCTGAGGAGTCTTTAAAGAACCCCAAGACGGGCCAAAAGGGCCCTCAAGACGGTCCAAGAGGGCCCAGAGTCGCCGAACGATCGCTCCAAGACGCTCAAGAAGGCCCCCAAAAGGCCCAAGAGGCCTCCAAGAGGGCCCCAACACTGCCCAAGAGGGCCCCCAAACGGCCCAAGAGGCGCCCAAGATGGCCCAAGAGGCCCCAAAGACGGCTCCAAGAGGGGGCCCAGATGAGGAACCCGAGCAGACACTTCGAGCCTTCGGCCCCGAGGGGCCCCCAGGAGTTCCCAAGAGGCCCCCAAGAGGCCCCCAAGAGGCCCCAAGAGGCTCCCAAAAAGACCCCAAAACTGTCCCCAAGAGGCCCCCGAGAGCGCTCCGACGAGATTCCAGGAAGCATCCCTGAGAACTCCCCACACCCAGGCACGGTGGCGGGATGGGCCGAAGGCGATTAGACCTGCTTGACATGGGGACGGAAAGCGCATTTACTTTCAGAGCGCGAGATGTCACTGGCTTGCCCGTTCTTTCTCTCTGTCTCCCCGTCTGGAGGCTCTCTTGGGGCATCTTGGTGGCATACTGGGCGCCCTCTAGGGCTATCTCGAAGCTGCAGGAGGCCTCTTGAGGGGGAACCGGGGCGTGTTGGTATCTCGGGAAGACACAAGGACGCGATAAAACACGAATGAAGATTAGGATAGTACTGCTGATGATGATGACGACGACATAGTTACTGTCTCTCAGGAGCATCTTGGGCGTCTCCCAGGCCCTCCTTGGGCCGTCTGGTGGCTCTCTTAGGCCCCCTTGGGGCCCTTCTGGGCCGTCCTCGGGCTCTCTTGGGAGCCTCTCGGGCCGTCATGGCACAATCTCGGGGAGCTCTGGAGCTGTATCGGGCCGTTCTTGCCCGAAAAGGCGAGGAGCCCGGAAAACTTCATAAACCTAAAGGCAACAATGGTTCATTCGTCCTTCAGCACTTTTGGGGGTCCTCTCGGGTGCCGCTTGGGGTGTCTTGAAGGCCTCTTGGGCTGTGCTGAGGCCGTCTTGGGTTATCTTGGATAGCTCTTGGGCAGTCTTCGGTCCCGTCTGGGCCTCTCTCACGCCGTCTTGGAGGTGCCTTAAGCTGGCGAAGAGATTATGCAGGTAGGGCGGGGCCAAGGGCGCCCCCCCGGCGGCGAAAGCCCTAATTTCGTTTTTTGCTCCCGCTTAGACCGCCCATCGGGGGGGGTCTTGGAGACCTCTTGAGCCGTATTGAGGCCGTCATGGGCCATCTCGATCGCTCTTGGGCCGTCCTCGGGACCCTTTGGGCCTCTCTACGCCGTCTTGGAGGCCGTTGAAGCCGTCTGCATACGTGCAGATGTTCGAACACGTCTTGGGGCCGTCTTGGGGGTATCTTGGGCCATCTTGGGGCGATCTTACGGGCCTCTGGCCTCTTGGGTCGTCTTGGAGGCATCTTGGACCGTCTTGGAAGACGCTTGGCCTCTCATGGGCTGTCTTGAAGGTACCTCAAATTGACAAGGACTTTACGCGCTTACGCGAAGCCTATGCGGAGCTTACGCGGAGCTTACGTTGCCGCCCGTTTCGGGCCCTGGTGTCAAGAACTGGTTACGTCACCGATCTGTGTTGGGAGCCGTGGTCTGATCAGCTTGTTAACGTCACTGCTCGCTCTTGGGAGCCGCAGTGTTCAGGGTCCGTTAACGGTCCGTTCACAAGGAACTCTTTTCCCTGTTAACGGTCCGTTAACAGGGAAAAAACGCTTCCGTCACCCGATTTTCCCTGTTAAGTCCCTGTTAAGGGCTCCGTTAACAGGGAAAAGGGTGCCCGAGCGTCCGTCACCCGATTTTCCCTGTCAAGCACACGATTTTCCCTGTTAAGGGCTCCTGAACAAGGAAAAGGAATGGATTTCCCCTGTTAAGCAGCCCATTTTCCCTGTTAAGGGCTCCGTTAACAGGGAAAAAAGGTGCCCGAGCGAAACAAAACAAAAAACTAACGGTCCGTTAACAGGGAAACGGGCGGGCCAGAAAAACACCCGATTTTCCATGTTAAGGGCTCCATTCACGGGGAAAAGGGCGGGCCATTAGATCCCACAATGCAGATGCCACCCCCTCAAACTCCCCTTAGTTTCGTTTCTCCCGACTAACGGATCGCACGCTACGCGCGCTTTCCGTCATCCGACGCCCCCTGTTGGCTTGCCACAGGGGTGCCCGGCGTACTAAACCCTTTCGATTTTGGTTATTGTAAAACGCCCACTGGGCCTTCGGCCCGTCCCGCCGGCACGGAGTAAGGACCCGTAAACTCTCCAGGTCGTCGGTCGTCCCGCGCCAGACGGCCAAAGATGGCCTCTAAGATGCTCACGTTGGCCCAAGATGGCCTCTAAGATGGTCCAAGATGGCCTCCAAGTCGCCAAAGATGGTCCAAGATGGCTTCCAAGACGGCCCGAGAGTCCAAGATGCCTTCAAGTTCGTCCAAGAAGCCTCCAAGACGGCCCAAGATGGTTCCAAGATGGCCTCAGACTGGCCAAGAGGCCCCCAAGAGGCCTCCAAGACGCCCTCCAGGAAGGCCCGAAAGGGCAAACATCATGAATTGTCCTACGGTTTTTGAAGGATGTTGGCATGTTCTTCTCATCAGCTCTCCGACGGCCCACGAGGTCCCCACTATCGTCCCAAGAGCGCCCAAGAGGCCTCCAAGATAGCCCCATGACAGCCCAAGAGGCCCCCAAGAGGGCCCCAAGAAGAGCCCAAGACGGCCCAAGATGGCCCCGAAGACGCCGAGGATGGCCTCCAAGACGGCCAAGATGGCCTCCAAGATGCCTCCAAGACGGCCAAGAAGGCCTCCAAGACAGCGAAGATGATCCCAAGATGCACCCAAGACGGCCCCAGATGGCCTCAAGATGGCCTCAGACTGCCCAAAAGGCCCGCAAGAGGCCTCCAAGACGGCCCAAGAGCCCTCCAAGACGTCCTCCAAGAGGGCCCGAAAGGGTCAAAATGGCCTCCAGACGGTCAAGATGACCTTCAAGATACCCGCGTGTTCCCAGAAGGCTTTCCAAACCAATTCGAGGAACACATGGTCCGGTAGCTTGGCAGCGCTCTGGCCTCAACGTTCGGCCACATAGGCGCTTCCGAAAGGGCAGGGGGCGGCAATGACTCGCCGTAGGCGTCTTCAATCAGCCGCCCCCTGTTGGCTTGCCACAGGGGTGCCCGGCGTGCCACCCGAAATGCCGCACAAGGCAGCATAAACAACACCAACGTCCACAAAAAAATCTTCAAGACGGCTAAAGATGACCTCTAAGATGGTCACGTTGGCCCAAGATGGTGATGGTCTCCAAGATGGAGCAAGATGGTGCAAGGTGACCTCCAGGACGGCACAAGAGGGTCCAAGAAACCTCCAAGTTCGCACAAGAAACCTTTAAGACGGCCCAAGACGGCCCCAGATGCCTCCAAGAGGTCTCCAAGACGGCCCCAGAGGCATCCAGGTCCTCCACGAGGGCCCGAAGAGGTTAAAATTGATAGTTTTCCTGAGGTTTTAAAGGACTCTGGCTTTTGCCTTTTGCTATTTTCCAGCCGTCCGACGGCCCACGACGGCTCAAGAGGGCCGAAAGATCGCCCCCAGAGCGCCCAAGAGGCATCCAAGACGGGCCTATGACGGCCCAAGAGGCCTCCAAGACGGTCCCAAGAGGGCCCCAAGACGGCCCAAAAGATGGTCTCCAAGACGGGCAAGATGACCTCCAACATGGCCAAGATGCCCGCTAAGACGGCCAAGATGGCCCAATATGGGCCCGAGAGGCTTCCAAGATGGCCCCAGGGGAATCCAAGAGGTTCTCCAGGAAGGCCCGAGGGAGCCAAAATCATCGATTTCCCTTACGTTTTTGAAGGATGTTGGTTTTTCATTCGATTTGGTGTTCCGACCGCCCAAGGCGGCCCAAGGTGTCTCCAAAATCGTCCCAGAGGCCTCCAAGGTGGCTCCAGAACGGTCCAAGAGGCCCCCAAGCCAGCCCCAAGAGGGTCCCAAGACGCTCTCCAAGACGCCCAAGACGGCCAAGATGCGTTCCAAGACGGCCGAGATGGCCTCCAAGACGGCAGAAATATCCCCAAGAGAGCCGAAGGTTGCCCAAGAGGCGCCCAAGATACCTCCAAGACAGCCCAAGATGTCTCCAAGAGCTCCACCAGGAAGGCCCGAAGAGGCCAAAGTCATCGATTCCCGTACGGTGTTTGAAGGATTATTGCATATTCTTCTTTTCAGCTCTCCGAGGGCCCAAGACGGCCCAACAGGCCCCCAACATCGCCCCAAGAGCGCCCAAGAGGCCTCCAAGATGGCCCCATGATAGGCCCCGAGGCCCCCAAGAGGGCCCCAACAAGACCCCAAGACGGCCCAAGAGGCCCGCACAACACCCAAGATGGCCTCCAAGACGGCCAAGATGGCCTCCAAGATGATTCCAAGGCGGCCAAGAAGGCCTCCAAGACGGCGAAGATGGCCCCAAGGTGCACCCAAGACGGCCCCAGATGGCCTGAAGATGGCCTTAGACTGCCCAAAAGGCCCGCCAGAGGCCTCCAAGACGGCCCAAGACCCCTCCAAAACGTCCTCAAGGAGGCCCGAAAGCTCGGAAACCACCTGGTCCGATAGCTCGCCCGACTCCGTGTTCCCCGAAGGCTTTCGAAACCCTCTCGGGGAACGCGTGGCCCGATAGCTTGGCCAAGCTCAAACCCAACTTTCGGCCACGCAGGCGCTTCCAAAAAGGCAGGGGGCGGCGGTGATTCGCCGTAGGCGCCTTCGATAGTAAGGGTCGAAACAGATACCGTCCCATGGCTCTGAGTGATTGTACGCATAAGCATCACATCCGTTACCCATACGATTCGTAGCTTCAGTATCCACACATACAGTCGGTGCTGGTGTTGCTGCTTCATGCACGAAAAACTCCCGCACTGATGCAAACAGTCGCGACAATGTTCCAGTGTGGAGCGAAGTGTGCTGGGAATGACCGTCCCGAGTGTATTTGTGCTCCTCGTGCGACACGGCCCCTGAGGTCTGCACCAAGAACGTGTCTACACAGTCGACACTTTTACGCGCCTGTGATTCGAGCGCGCGATCGGAGGTGCTGATCTCCGAGGCATGCGTGATCGTCGCGTACGCGAAGAACAGCACGAGCGCAGCCCCCCTGTGCATTGCGCGACGCCGTCTGTCAGGGAGGGCGGAAGATAACGAAGACATGGATGAATAGTAGTGTGCGAAGTCTGATAGTTATGAGGGTGCGGTGAGTGAGCTCTCGGCTGAAGTTGTGGCTATGCGGCCACGGGGTCAAAAAGCGGGGGCGGCAGAACAAAAAATGATGAGGAGCACGGACAGTGACGTCCTCCACGTCGTCCTACTCCCTGTGATTTGCTGCGCAAGAAGGCACCGCTGCCTGCAGCAGCGATGGCATTGCATAACTCAGTCTATCATGCACATGTGCCAGCATGGGCCCTGAAGAATGATTATTGCACTCTCGGTGTGTAGGCTTGTGGTGCACATCTATGCGGTGTTGGATGTGCGGTGTCAGGTATGTGGTGCAAGGTATGCGTCGTAAGCTAAGCGGCGCATGCTGTGTATTGCAAGATGCGTGGTGCAATGTATGCGGTGTCAAGTACTTGGACAACACGCAAGCTTTGTTGGTGGTGCACCGAGCGCTCGGGGCGCCCACGAGATGCCCAGAAGTGGCCACCGACCGCGCACCGGGCAAAACTTCTAAGGACCCACCTAGCCCACGGGGTCGCCAACGAGGCGACCACGACCGTACACCGACTGGGCAACAGCCGAGACCCCAGCGGACCCGCCCAGCACACAGGGCGTCCACGAAGCAACCACGACCGACCAGCCACCAGCCGGAGCGCCAAGCGAAACCTCGGCGGACCCAACCCGCGCACGGGCGCCCACGACCCACAACGGGCAACGGGGCACCAGCCGAAACCCCGGCGGGCCCACCCAGCGCACGGGGCGCCCATGAGGCGCCCACGACGACGGCCCAACGAGAGGGCACCATACTAAATCACAGCGGGCCATTCCGATTACTTGACAGGCCAGATAAGAATCCACAGTGCAAGCACGGCCCTGGGAACAAATCCACGGCGAAAGCAAGAAATACCCATGCTCAGCTACCAACGCATATTTCACCGAATGACGTAGGCAGCCCCAGGGAAATGTTACAGAAATACATGATTGGGAAATGCGTGAGACAATGCCTGCGACTGTAACAAAAGCAAACGAGCACAATTGTTAACGATCTTTTTGAAACATCAGACCCAAAGTATGCAATGTGAGTTGATTACTTATTTGAGATCCACCTTACATATTTCCTGGAGGTTCCGCAACTACAGAGAAACGGGTTAAGCGGTGTCTCGGCGCAGTCCTAGCTACACTTGACTTCATATATGCTCGTCCTCCCTTGTTAGTGTTAGGACACCTGCGACGCAAATCTGCCCCTCTCAATCGAAAGCTCGCCTCGGAGAAGCACTCGCCAACGCCCACCGGCATTATCCTTGAAGACAAAAAACGACCCCGCCTTGGGCGCGAAGAACGAAGAGAGGATTCCGAGAATTTCCGAGGACGATAAAGCGACGGACGAACAGACTGAAAACGTCAGGAGGAAAAAGGGCCGAAGAGGAAGGAGGAATACGCAGCAAGAGGAAGAAGGAGAAAGGGAACGGAGGTGGGAGCAATGATAGAACGGGGGACAAGGAAGCACGAGGAAGAAGGAGAAACAGGGGGAAGCGAAGGGAGGATGAGGCGGGAGGGGAGGAAAAAATAATAGCAGGAGGGAAGACGGAGAAAAGAAGGAGGAGTTCAACAGCAGATAGGGAAGAGGTCGAAGAGGCTGAGGAGAACTGAGAAATGCGGAAGGAGCAGAATGGGAATGGCGCGGGGAGAAGAGGGCGAAGAAGGAGGAGGATGATAAGTGCAGAAATCAAAAAGGAGCGAAAACGGAGAAGAGGAGAAATTATGCCGATGGCGCCAATATGGCGCTCCTTTTACCTCGGCGCAAATGCAAAAAATGGACGGGCCCTCTGGCCGGAGCCCCTACGACTGAAAAGCACCGCAGCAATTCGAGATTTATTTGTTCGCACCTCCGTTTCTTACAGAGGCATTACCGAACACTTTTCCTCGACCCAAACGACCTGTACAACACATTGCTGATGACGCGCACGTCTTACCGCGCTCCCCACTGACTCGTTACACGACTGCCGCACTGCATTTGGAACCGATGTCAGGGCAGACTCGTGCCTTCTAAATGGCGTTTTGCGGACGCTGGTACAGCTCTCACTCACCGGTACTCATGCCAGAATATGAAGGGCGACGCCGCCGTCCCTTCTCCAATGCACAGGTTGGCTTGTAGTCATGGTGGTATGTGATTGGGCGGTCGCAACCTAGGCTGTTGGACTCGCGCGATGTTTTCTATCGGTTGCGCATGGCTCCAAATTCCTGCGACCATTGCTTCCGGTAAGACCTCAGTGTCGTAGTCATCAAGCGCGACGTCGAGACATCGACGTATGTCCGTCCATTTGCGTCGGCTCCACCTTCAGAAATATTGCCATCTCTGGCTGGCCCACTCGCGTCTCTGGGTCGTCCTCAAAATGACTGATGCAAGGCCGCTCGCTCAATGCCCAATACTCTGTCGGCATTCTTCTGAATGGTTCCCCCCACCAACGCTCGATCTGCACTTCAAGAATTTGCGAAGCAAACAACGGCTCGAGAACATTATCCTGCTGCCCCCCCTGCCCACCAGCGGTCAACGATCCTACCGCGCGCGCCCGCCAGTGCTGCATGGTGATAGTGCAATAAACATTTGAACATGCATGCAAGGAATAGGTACGTGCGCAGTGCCGACCTACGCGCGCATCGGAGATCGCGCGGCGCAAATGCCGAAGTCCCTGTCGGTGCTCGTCGTGGAAGAACATGTAAAATCCATGATACGCTCCGTCCTGATTTTCTCTGAGACGCCTCGACTGAAGGGCGCAATCTTTGAGGTTTGTTGCCCAAGCGTCCGCGACGATGGATGCAATACGGACCCAAGCTGTCAAACTCAAGCGCTTGCCCTGTTTCTTTACATTTGAGCAGCTCTCGAGGTTCTGCCTGGCGGGAAAACGAATCTTAGGCCCAGGCTGCTTGGCAATATTGCAGGCGTCTCCTGGCATAGATCCGACTCTTGCTTTTGATCGCTGCCTTCATTTGCACCAGGCTCATCGCGCGCTCCGTATGCGAGACATACACGACATTCCTAACTCCAGGTAGATTTAGCGCATCGCTATGAGTAGCAAGTGCCCCTGGATAACTATGCTCGGCTCGAATGGGCACACACTGGTTCCTTTTGGCGATGCTCCTCAGGCAGGCTTCAACGTAAAATATGGCACACCAAGTCTGGTGTCAACGAGTTGTCTGCGCCTCTCGTTGCAGGAACAAGCTACACTTCTCACTCTGGCCGCTGATAGGGACTGCAAGCTGGCCGCTGGAACAACCTAGTGCCAACTACCAGCGCGATGACTGTCGCGCACGTGGCGTGCTCGTGAACCGGCGCCAGAGCTGCTGCACCGATGCACCAGGACGTCGCGGCATGAACAGGTTCTCACATGAAGGAGCCCGAGGAAGCGTGGAGGAAAGAAAGGAGCTGATTGTGTCTGGACAGAAGATGGGGATAAAAAGAGCCGTAACCAATGCGCACGTTAACGAATCTGCACTTTAGGTATTCTGCTTTATCTATGTGTTTATGTATGTGATTACGCATTAATTTCTGTACTTAGCTCCTAATGGGGCCACGGACCGCGTGAGGGTTGTGCCAGAATGAGCATGCGGTGGGCGGGGCGGGCGCATGCGGACGCTGGGGCCTTCGGTGGAACTCCCCTATGCGGCCACGGACGTGAGGTTTGTGCCGAAATGGGCATGCGGCGGGCGGTGTGGGCGCATCTGGACGCTGTCACTGGGGCCTTCGGTGGAGCTCCCCGTGGGGCCACGGACCGTGTGAGGGTTGTGCCGAAATGGGCATGCGGTGGGCAGTGTCGGCGCATGGGGACGCTGTCACTGGCGCTTTCGGTGGAGCTCACAATGGGGCCACGAACCGCGCGAGGGGCGCGCCGAAATCGGCACGCGAAAGAACAGAGGCCAGGGCGAGAGAAGGGAGGAGTGGGATGGGGAAGGAGAAAGGAGGGGGACGCGGGACGCTGTCACTTCAAAACGAGAACCCAACACCACAGGATGGTTTGGAAATATCAGCCAGCGTGGACTCCGAATAGATTAAAGACAGGAATCAACGGAATCAAGCATCCTTGGAATCCACAGCTCAGCAGGCGACTAAGCGTGCAAGCAAGCAAGCAAGCAAGCATGCAAGCAAGCAAGCGTGCAAGCGCGCAAGCAAGCAAGCAGGCAGGCAGGCAGGCATTGGCATGGGCGCAGGCACAGCAGCTAGGGGGAGGCATTGACATAGGCATAGACATAGACATGAGAAATAGGGGAAGCATAGGAATCCGGGGAGGGCAACACGATAAGAAAGCTTTCTTCAGCATCAGCTTAAACACTCGAAATACATGTTTTTGGATTTTCACCCGACGTCGGTTCCGCCGAGTGTTTCGATAGTAATACTGCAGCTGCGGACCTGAATAACCCACTACAGGTGCGAAGAATACTGGTTATAAAAAAACGAGCGGTCAAATCTCTCACAACTGGGAGCCGGCGGTAAACCGTCAACCATGTTACCGCCGGGATCCTATAGAGCTCCCGAACGCGAATTAGTGCTCAGACTACGAGGAGAAAGCTTCCTCGAATATCAGCTTCAAAACTCGCAGAATGTATATTTGGAGTTTTACACGAAGTCGGTTCTTCTACGTCTTTTTATTGTAATATTGCAGCTACGGACCTGAGAATTTGACAGGCAGACGAGGCATAACCCACTACACGTGACAAAAATATTGGTATATCCACCCGATCGATCTCAAGTCCAGATGGCGAGCGGGAATAAGGTCGAAGATGGGGGCAAAAAAAATACTGGAGTTCTAACGAAATGCTGAATTTCGAGAAACTGATTTAAAACTACAAAGATTTTTCGCGCCAACTAGCCCGCCAGCGCGCCCGAATTACTCTTAAGCTTCGCCGCTTCGCTCTTAGGGAAGCTCTACGAGTCATTCCGCGCGCGCGAGAGTGCGGTTTCGTAGAAATGTGCTTGACAGCTCCTTGCTTGTCCACAGCTCGAGTTCGTCTCGATACTGCACACTAGCGCTCATAACAATTCCCATTCGAACAGGTCTGCTTCCCGGCCCCGTAGCTTGCCGACAGCTCGA